GCTCGTTTTTCTCAGAAACTCAACTTCCTGAGCATCATATACCTGTTCTGGAAAGTTAAAGGACACCATCTTCAAGAGACACCCACTTAGATATACACAACGGGACACAAGAAACTACTTCCAAGAAAACATGGGAACCAAAACGAAAACTGGCTCAAAGAGAAGTTATTTGTCTGTTTCACTTAATTTAGTCACGAACTAACGCTGTTAACTGCGAGGCATAATAGTTTCGCAGTATACTTTACCTAAACTGTATAGAAACACTTGCCAATAACTATCCTATTTGATACGCAAGTAGTTGCTAAACCTTCTGTGACTGCTGGTTATTTTATTTGTTTTTCGGTATTTACGAACACAATGAACGCGTAGTTACCAGTGCTCAACCATGGTCCAGCCCAACAAGTGCACGTGTGCTACGCATACAAGTAAACTTAATCCTAGAGTCTCAACTGAACGAGCACTTTCACTAACTGGCTTGGCTTCAAGCCCTAGAATGGGCCCTGAAGTTAAGGTACTCGATTTGATACCGGAGATGCATAACACTTCGCGTAAAAATAAGGAAGATTTGATAACCTTGCACAAGTCACTGCAAGACATGAACGCTAAGCTTTAAGTGGTCCTGACATTTCTGCATCTTTGTCAGCCTAGTCTAGAAGCCAGTGCTGAAGCCCCATTAGAAGCAGAAAGTGTGTTAGATTTCATGGCTACAGAGGTTAATGAAAGAATTTTGTCCTCATATAATGTATCAGTACACAACTTACCCGACCACAAACCAATCAATTAACAAAAGCCTTACGCTTGCAGGCTTGCAATATGTCTTCTGCAGAATGCCAGGTCATCCGTCTCCGCAAGAAGTTGGGGAAATATACCTCTCCCTTGCTACTCAAATCTAGTAGCTCTTGCCACGCCAGACATTTCCTATCAACCAATCAACTTATTAGTGTATCCACACCATATAAAAGTGTCAAACCTTCAGAAGACTCAACACCCTGCAAAAGATGTGACAGCACAAAAGTACCAAGAGCCGCACACTCTAGTCAGGCTGTGGTACCCAGAACAACTACACAACCTATTAGTGAACCGGTTATTGTAGCAAAACAGCGGAATGAAGAACGTCAAGGCCCCCGAAATAGCTCACTCACACACAAGCGTAGTAGAGCCGATGACATGACAGTAGGCTCGGACAAATCGACGAACTTCACCCGAAAACAGGCACACCACCTCCCGAAAGCTATCCCGCTGCCTCAGAAGTGGAAAACCAGTCCCCGTTTCACCCCGTCACACGAGTCACCACCAAGCCAAGTGCTACGCTATCGATCCAACAAAATACTGAAGACATTACTACGTCGTCGCCAGGGGGTTACTCGGCCTATGAACAAACCCGGCACCAGTCACAAGCACCCTGTTTCCATAGGACCGTCCCGAAGCCTAGCATGTAAACAGTCTGGCGTACTCCAACATCAACGAGCGCACAAATTGTATGGGCAGATGACGAAGAGTACAAACAGTATTAGACACTCTTATACAAACCCCACCATGCACCCGCCCAAGTTAACGAAATTGCCGAAGAGTCAACTAAGCAGACAAGCCAAGAGACTAAAAAGCTGTAAGAATGGCCAAAAGACCACTGCACCCTCGCAAATCCACACTAAGGAAAATGCCAAGCGTGATTACTCAGCTGATCCTACAACCAAACTAAATAACTGCTGTCCAGGCGGTCCGCATTTCTTAACATTTCCGCGGTCACCAGGAGACACGCCCCACGGCCAGACCCCTCAACGGTCAAAGTTATTGGACAGTGAGCCGAACGGTAGTCACAGACTACGCTCTACGCCTTACCTATATGCTGCAAAAAGTGGGTCATCTAATCTGCAGCCGACGCATCACTACAAGAAAACCCAGAGGGAATCACCATGTGAAAAACTCCTACCTTCACTCGTTAAGATGATGTGGTGTGACGGAGGAGGCCACTCAGAGTGGATACTGACATGATAGTCAGCCGGAGTTGGTACCGATGTCCACCATTTATCAGTTTCTTAGGACGAAGATTTCTGGTTTGCCTGACTTGTTTGCAGTCGGATTCGGAATCGCTCTTCTTGTACTCGACGCGGTGTTCGTAACCCATGAAGCTTGGGGATATGGTTACGTATCGCCCTGCACTACCCAAGACATTTTTGTAGCCAAAGTTGGGATTAACTGACCCATGTCACCCCTGATACTCTTGTGTGAATATCAAGCCGTTCTTGATGTTTTTCTAGTCACAACCGGTTTTCCAGTTTATGTGTTCCACGGTATCCTGAAGTGATAATGATGTGACATCGCCCCAGGCTCCGGTGTCACAGGTGTAAAGGATCTCTCAGCTCCGTTTTGCAGATGTACCGAAATCCGACAATGATAAGATCAGTCTTGCCCAGTGGATGTAGGATTGAGGGGTGATTCACGAGGAATTCTTCGTTATCACTGAAAAGTCAGAAATCATCCTGGTTGTTTTAAAATCCTCTGATGGAAATGACAGAATAGGTTTTGAAATTCTTGACGCACATATAACATAAAAACACGCGTGGCGCCTCCAAGGCACACGAATGTCCACAAAATACGAAAAATTGTTTCAAAACTGGACGACAGTGCAATATGCTGCACTGACATTCATCAGCTGATTGTTCCTAGGTCTCACACTGACCAGTCGCAGTTGTTCCCAGGGTTGAAGACGGAAACGTTAAAGTGGTCTGCTGTTAAGGCTTCGCCACTGGGACACTAGACAGTGGGTACTTCGGCGCAGCACCTAGCTTCACTTAGTCCTGGTTAGAATTTCCAGGACAAAGTGTCTGCAGCACTGCTGGCTGGAAGGATTAGTCGCCACCTTTCTGTCTTCTTTCCCGCAGAAAATAAGCAGCTTTAGGGAAACGTTCCAGTAATTCCCTTGACCAAAATATTCCGGTCGGAAAATCTGAAAAGATATCAAGGATAACAAAGACTGTTTCACCTCTTATGCTGTCGTGTTTTTTTCTACCCCCCTCAAAGCTTGTTCAAAGGAGCTCGTTTTATTCGCCTGAATTTTGAAGTTCGGAAAGTCTCCTTGTGCTTTATTTCTTATTTGCGCCACTGTCTTCAAGTATCCTTTTCTGCATGTGGCGCATTCTTCCGTCATCGATTTTTCACTTATTCTGATGAAATGCGATATTCTTTTATGATTTTTACACGGCGTTGTACGTTTTCAGCATGAATTATATGCTATACATTTCGAACACCATTCATCACAAACCAGAGGCAGTGCACTTTGCCGTGCGTTCATTAAGTTTATTGTGACTGTTACCGAACCCCGTGTAAAATTAGACAAGCGCTTTAAAGTATTACAGGGCTCCCACCTTTATAGGTTGTCAGAAAGACGGGATAAATCTAGAAGACGCTTCAATTTACCACAAATGATCAAAAATGGCTTTGCGTCCACTGGTTTCAAAATTCTTTTCTTCCACATTTTATACCGCTCTAATGCTGCAGCCTAACAGCATCCACACTTTTTTACTTGCCAACTGCTTTTAGTCGCATTGAGCAGGCTTAATGCCTTTCGAACCTTGGCTCAGGTCGACTTTCAGAGCTTCCATTTGGATTGAGGTTCTCGGGGTTTCTGTCACCACTTATGTTGGCATCATAATGATTGGTTTAAGTGTTCAAGGTGATGTGATCCGAATTCTTGTTATCTTTGACCGACAAATCAGTAGTATTAGTGTGCATCGTGTGTAACAGCAAAGTCAAACGTGCGTATGGCCGAGAAAGTATCGCTCGCTTGCACATTATGATTTTATTCTAAAATTTACTCAGCAGTCACATGTTTTGGCCCTAAGGACCTAGCTTTTCCTAATGCGGCACTGGTACATGTGTTAGCGCACCTCTCAGCATTTGGCTGAGATAATCTTCAACCACCCTCCGTACGAAAGAGACCGGTGTAAAATTCAAAATTTATCCTAAAGTCGGAATAGCCAAATCGGAGATTAGTCGAGAAGTTGGGATGGGGGTGATGATCTCACGGAACGCGGGCGAGTGCAGCTGCCAGCTTGCTTCTTATCTTTTAACAAAGTGAAATTGAGACAAACATGGCTTACTTTTAACCTTTGTTGAACTGAAGATCCCATAACTTAGTACATCACTTCTTAAAGCAAAGTGGTTTATTATTCCAGATATTAGGAGGCAGGTGCACAGTAACACCTTGCGTTAAGTGAGAGCAAACAATCACGAACGACATAAGTTATGCAGATGTTCTCACCACTATCGCGTGATCCACATTTCTTGGTCCTGAAAACAATCAAGTCGGTCACACGTGAAATGAGGGTGATTCTGTCTCGTCGTTGTGTTCTCTGTAAAACGTCCTACAAAGTTGCATATAAAGCATTGCTCATGAAGTTTTAATCATTTGCAGTAGAAACCCCAACTCATGTAATAGGCTATATTTATACGTCCATGAGCAACTCCAGATGGCAGGAATCCACTGTTGTGTTTCACATCAACTATCAGATGCGGACGGTGTATCACGGGGAAGCACCGGAGCCGGACATTCTACCCGATCCTGTCATATTTGTGTGAATGAATGCCGTGCCTCCGCATTAATAGGCGCTTTGTCAAGAATTTTGGTAATAAGGCATTCTGTCGATGGACCTTCATATGGGAAAACGTTGATTACATAACTTCAAACTTCGTGTTGTAGGACTAATGAACGGTGATCCCTTGAGTTCTACGTCTGTTTTATTGGAGCACGTATGGTGGAGTTATCTTTGGAGCAAGCTGCTTCCAAACTACCAAATGTTTCATCACCTTCGAGTTCTTCTTCCCGGATTACAATCTTATGATGGAAAACTATGTGGTTAATCACACACATATACATGAAAATGTACACAAAGTTTGGATAGATCTAAAAGCATAGGAACTTCTCTCTTTTCCAGGCTGATCTGCGTGGTAATGTCTTTTCCCACGTCTGCTCGTGCTTCTTCTTTCTTTTTACTTTACAGCAACAGCTCGATAACGACATTCAACGCTGAATTTCAATCTGGACACATCTATTAAGTGGAAATAATACCCTCTGTTTAACTCCATGAATTATTGGACTGCTCCCAATCTTTCGCGGTTTCTGAAACATCTTCACAATCAACTCATCAGCTGGTGAGGATTCTTCCTGCAACGAACCGTCTAAAGTTTCCCAACAGCCATGGTGGCAAAAATATTTTGAACAAATGATCAAACGAGGGACCAATATACCTTTTGGCTCGAAATATAACCTACCTACTCCAATTCCACACTACATGTTCCATAGTACTCTGTATCAAGTGATCTTCTTAGGTAAAAGTTGCCATGCATCAAATATACTTTCCGAATGATGCTGCTTACGCTAATATGAACGATGCTGGAAGTCCATATGTAACTGCTGCCTTTTGGACTATTACCGTCTCAACGTCTGCCTTCATCTACCACTAGAAGTACTCCCGGTGGAATCAATGTATACTACCTTTAAACCACATGGTGTACTGGAAATACGTGGATTTAGACACTCACCTTGGCTATGTAACTGGGTACTTACTGATACTCCAGGTCGTATAAATAGGCCCTTTGTGGTTAGCAGTGCTAAAAACTGAAGAACTTTCCTGTGAATTTATGCTTATATTACTAAATAAGAAACTATGCAAATGGACTAACAACGTCGTCTAGTCATAACGCAAACTTCGAATATTGCTCGCTTTTGTCGTTGATAGTGGAACCTATCTGGGTAATGACAGACGGAAATCCATACCCGTCTGTTGATTTGCAGCAAGTTTTAGTAAGTTTATGCATATCAGTAACTTGCTGTGTCAGTTATATAATTCCCGGCATTATCCTGTAAACTTTCAAAATCATCATTTTGACGGTGCTTGTGAACTGGTATCTGTCACGTTAAATCCATTATATGGGGATGGGAATTTTTATTATCTTCACTGTGACGCACTGCATATGCTGAAAGTGGTATTTTCTTTGTCCCGCAACCGTGATCTGATGTTTTGATGGAGCTGAACGACCTCCCCTCCGTACTATTCAGGACCCGCAAAGTCTTGTAGATTTTTCCACATATATCAATGTGATGATGCCTGTAAACTGGCTTCTCTCATGGTAATCACTAGTGTGAGAATAAAAATTTGTTTATTTATATTGTACATAACAGTCAGTTTACATTACCAAAATGGCCAGACCTGTTAACTGGTTTGTTTTCACGTAACATGTTGCATGAAATATATTATTATCATTATTACATGAAGATTTTCATACTACTTGATGGTTCTCACTGATCTACTACAAGGCTCTTCGGGCGGTTGTGGTGTGGCTGCTGAATGCCTCATATTATCCAGATGACATACGCGTTTAGCTGTTACATTCTTTTACCTCTGGCACCTTTTCCTGAAGCGTTTGTTTCTATGACATCGATACAGTAATGAGAATGTCTGAACGTGAACCTAATATGGCAGACATTTCCACTGATTTTGCAGATGCTTTAAGTGTGCAGCTATACTAGTCGGAGGCAAATAAAATTCACGCGAGCCCCTTTCAATGCAGCAGAACAACCTGCATCTGTTTCATATCGAATTCGTAGCAGTCTCGCAGGTAATAAACTTCGTGAACGAATCTTTGTTTCACGGCCAAACCGAAGGTATTACTCAGATTATCAATTTTGTCATTCATTGAGGCTGATGTGCCTTATTCTGAAGTACAATTACCTGGGGAAATTTCGACATCATCCTCACTTCTCTAGTACGGTTTTACATGTCTTTCCAATTACTGTCCACGTCTTCATTAAGTCTCCTCGCCTAGGTAAGGAAATCCTCCTTGCGGTAGCCACTCAGTTCCACTAATTACAGTTTCAGTATCTCTCCGTTTTTATTCAAAAATACAAACGGGGAGACTAACCGTTCTAAGTAGTCAAGGAAACACGTGCGCTTAGTAGGTTGGAAGTATACCTAGTATTGGCGGTTACCTGCTTTGTTGTAGTTTACTAATTTGTTGAACGTATGCGTCGGTTGTCGCAGTTCTGTCTGAACCTCACCTAACAACTGGCGTTGATTGTTTTCATGACATTTTACATAATGAGCTCTGTCAGCGACATTTTTGAAATTCGTGTGTGAAAAACCTCTCTTTGTGGTCGAAGATCCACATGAATTTCATATAACCTCGTTCAGAATCAGCTTGTGACTCATTCCGGACATGCAATGGGAACTGACGCTTTGTCTTGTTTGCTGTGGCTTGTTCGTGTTGAAAAGTGTGGATTTTATTCATTGATTGAAATTTTCCGTCATTTCATTTACTTGCGGATGGTGAGTTTTCTTTCTGCACCAAGTACAGCTTTGAAGTTCCTTGGAAGGATGAAACAGTCTGCAGTGCGATGAGTACCCCTGCTCAGATTTTGTAAAACTTGGACATCTGAATTGTGCCATCCATCTTTAGATGGAAACATGGGTGATAGTTTTGGAATTACTGTCTTCGATAGGTACTAGTTCTGACCGTCTCTTGAGAAGATCCATGCTAGTATAAAGATGAATGTACCCAGTGAATTCTTGCAGGGGTCCTAGAATATTCTTGTGGACACTGACAAGACGAGCATCTTGTGATTGAAAAGTATCTAGGAGGATGTTCACATACCGGATGTACAACGAAAACTTGAGGTGAAGTGCGAAACGTGGTCCAATTTCTGCCACTTATGTGGGGAGCGCTTATCGAATGCCGAACCAAGACCAGAGTTTAGCTGTTTGTGTTCTGTGAGGATGATGGAGACAAGACCTCCGACTGAACGTCAGGAATGGTACACGTAGGAGTGCACAGCCAGCAGTTACCTGCCAAATTCGCCGCATTTTCTTCCGCCTCATTAAGCCGCCGAGAGAAATGGGCTACTGGCTATCATCTAGCCTCAGTCATCTGTTGAAAAATTTCTCCGATTGCAGAGTAGGATACACCAGCAGTAAAACTAAAAGATGGTTGGGAGTGTGATGCCCCGTATTGATCAGGTAGCAAACTCGTTTTCACACCAGCGAGATGCAGCTAACGGCTTTGCCGCCGGTGCCTGATCGTAGGAGAAGTCTTCCGGCCTCATGCAGTCTTCGTTGAGGGGGCACGGATTCTGACAGTTTCTCTCTCTCTCCTTAGTTGTGTAGAACCAACCCCACCTAGGGTTTTCGACTAAACCGCTCCCAGCTCTTAAATGGAAGCTGCCGCTGCTCTATGTAACGTGACCCAGGGCTTGATTTCGTGGAGGATGCTTACCGTGGTTGAGCGTCTGCATCATTTCACAGTCCTGAATCTTGGGCTTTCCGTAAACGGAATAACCACTGAAAACAGGTCTAACAGAGATTTTTAATGTTTTGTCAGCCCGGGCTAGCAAAGTCACGGACCGCAAATGAGTGGAGTGTTGACAGTATGGCTCGTACGGACTGTAATATCTTCGAAAGTAACGTGTCGAGAAAGGCAGTCATCAAGCATTCAATCGTCGAAAACTCGCGTTTGTGCGAACCTCTGTGTGGCCTAAGTGTGCCCCAACTCAAAACTGCGGGGCAAACCATCAAAATATTTAAAATTCTGTTCAAAACGACCGCTGTGGGCAGTGAATAAGGACCCATTTTCAGAGTTAAGTGCATCTGTCCCAACCCACCTGTTTTATTCCCGTGGCAATAACCGCATGTCAGCAAAAAATTCAGATGAGGCACCTTCCACTCCTTGTCGTCATAAACCAGGTTTGGTATAACGAGACCACGTTCCTGCAGTTTCTAACCATAATGTCGTGGTCCGGAACAAGCTCGCTACCGGATTACTACGAATAAGTCTGGCATTCTAGTTGTACATGGATACGGAACTTCATAGTGTGAGTAAATCGAAGTTACTGACTTTAAAGTGAAAGTGCAAATACGCAAGAAGTAGGGAACTCATTGGTTACAGAGTCGACTTTGAGCAAACTCGATGGACGCAGGCCCCAGTCACTATTTCTTCTTATTAAGAGAATACCAACGAGTGCGACGCCAAGAAAGAAAACAGTAGGGCTATCGAGGAGAAGTGTATTTGATAGACCAACCTAAGACGCCAATGCGTCCTGAGCAACGGGCTAGAGGATCAAGTACCAGCAGTGCAACGTAATACGGCAAGGCGCCGAATGGCGTGGAAGCTTGACCTTGCGCCACCAGCTCAGTTAGCTCGTTAAAACGATGAAGTTCAACATCAATATCGAATCTTGTCAAGCCTTAAGTTAGTGATCTGAAGGAGTTGTTTGCTGTGACAACGTACCGCAGCCCAATTACAAGAGGCCGGTCTTACTTTTTCGCAGTAGTTTCTGTGTGACACTTTATGTGGCATGTAGAAAATGTATTAGTTTCGGGCGCCAGCTGCAGTCGGCTAATTCATAAGTGCTTTCACCGTTTGCCCTGCTGAGCCTGGCTGCTAGTCAAATGGTAAGGACCATTAGTAATGAAGTGGAAATACATTTAAGATTTCATTAAATACCACTTTGTGGAGGACTGTGGAACTTCTCCATGTGACTGTCATAGCGTTTTTCATGCGTTGCGTAATCTTCGTTGTGGCGGTGTGAAAACATTTTCCGGTGAAGTACGTGCTTTGATTACCTTCTTAAGTTGTCAAGACGCATAAAAATGACTTTACTGCTGGACAACGGCGTTGGTGTTGATGTTAACTGACAAGATATAATTTCACTACGAAGCCAAGTCTTGACACCCGTAACCATGACACAAAGAGACACATTGTATAGTGGTGCCGTGAATATTTGACTGGTAGCTCTCACCTATGGCAGCCATGAAGTTACGCCGAAACATCTGTGACTACTTGACTGTTTTCCTCCCTGCTTCAGCATATTACCGTCTACCCTTCACAATGCATTTACATCCTCGTCCTTGATCAGCGCTATCTATCAAACATCCTTAATCATTTTCTTTCGTACTCCCATGAGTACTTTCAATTCTTTATCCTAGAATGCCTTACCCCTGCATTCTAAAGGCCTTTAATAAGCGCTGAGTCAAAAATAGGTATAGGCTAGCCGAGTGAACAACATGTTGATAAAAGTTTTACAATGACCCGTTTTACAATACCAAGCTGAGACGCAGCTGCTACAGCCTGATGGAGGACGAACTTATCATTACCTTAGTCAGATTCACACAAACTCTCAATACTTCCGTCACCAAACGTTCGTTCCCAAAAAGTTGCCTGTTCCCATGGCGCAGATAAACAAAGCCATACCTGTACTACATCTGAGTGCCCCTCTATTAAAAACCTATCCCTTCGAAAATTTACGCTACAAATGACTCTGAAACTTAGCACCATGATGAATAAGGTTATTCATCGCAAATAGATGTTTTTTAATGGAAATTGGCGTGCAGGGTAGAAGGTCCCTGCGAAAACCGCGAATCCACCTGATACGTGCAGCCGGCAAATACTGTATGTACTAAAAAATTATATTCGTCGGGACCCAGCAACACAGAAGGAGACGGAATAGGAACAACTGATCAGCAGATATAGGTGATGGCCTATTTTTATCCACTTTTATTCGTGAGATAATGCTGTCAGTCTACTAAGGTCTATGAACAAAACTGAAGTATATATGTCACACCACTGAAGTTGCTTGTAAGCCTCTGTGACTTTTTCCCTACGAAATCATCCCTGTACGTTATCTAACACGAACAAGTTGATACGATAGTAAAAATGTCTGCATCGTTTCCCCATCTATGCATTCTAAGTGATTATCAATTCTACTCTCAATGCATTTCAGTTTCCAAGTTTTCGGCTTTTCCAAAAAACAACCAACTAGTCTTTACGCAACTTTTCTTGAATTCCAAACCGCCTCCAGTGACTTAAAGCATTTTCATCTCCACCGCAATTTTGCCTACCCACCCATGTTTGGGCTGCAAAAAAAATAATTGCTGGGAAAGGCTACATACCTCAGCCTGAGATCAATATGCTACAAAGAAGCATAACGAAATTAATTTAAGATGCCTCAGTAGATTTCAGATAATAAGTAACCTGTCTATCGGTTTCAGACCATACAACTCACACTTCTTATTAACCTGAGTAAAATAGCACAATAAATCTGGCGTTTTCTATCATCGAATATATTGCATCAAATTTCTTATTTCTAAATTGTTTTAATCGTTCAATTATGTCAACCAGTCGTATTGTACGTTCTTGCGCGTTTTTAAAATCATTACAACCTATCGCTTCGCAAGTTGATAGGAAATTTAAGAAGAAGCACCACGGTGAATGGCAAC